CAGCTCTTCTGGCCCATTTCGCAAATGCGGTCCATTTCTCGCATATGCGGGACCGCAGATGCGGTCCCCTGATCGCAGATGCGGAAATCGCTGAGGCAGGGAGGTTCATTTAATACGGGTTCTAAGTCATTTTTATCACTTTTTCACTCCTCCATTGGGCGATTTTAGAGCTTTTGAGAGAAGAACTTCACCTAGCATCTTGAGGTAAGTGTGTTCTACCTATTTCTAGTTTAATAATTATGTCTTAGGTCGATTAAACACTAGTATTAAGGTGAAATCATGGGGTTAGAGCAAAAACCTGTGGTTCTAATAAAAGTTAGATTTAACCACGAAATTTGTTATGGAATAAATTAGAAATCATATATTATCGATCCTTAGGTTGTAGAGAACAACTTCCTTCGAAAAATTTAGGAATCCGGGCACGTGGGCCCGGGGTCGGATTTTAGGAAATTTGTGATTAAGGGTGGGAAATTGCGTAAATAGTTAGAAATGATCTTGTAAGCTTATATTGACTAGTTCCTACCTTGTTTATCTAGTTTTGAATCGTTCGGCTCCGATTTGAGGGTTCGGGCTCATTCTTGGTATTGGAAGTGCACATTGGAGCGAGGTGAGTCTCCTATCTAACCTTGTAAGAGGGAATTGTCCCCATAGGTGATATAATCTAATAATTTGTCATTAAATGTGGGGGCTACGTACGCACTAGGTGACGAGAGTCCTTGCGTAGCTACTATTGTGCTAAGTCCGGGTAGTTTAGAACCCAAAAGCATGCTTTATGTGGTATCTTTGCAACTCTACCTTTAATATAATCGTGGAGATTATGATAAATGACATTACTTAAGAGGAACATGACCATTCTTGCTTTTTAAAAAGGAAAGATGAAAATGCATTGAGTAGCTTCTCTCCAGCTATATGTCATTGTTGTCTGTTGATATGTTTAATTACATGTGACCGCGTCGCGTGGTCGATTCGCGAGCGGGGTAATAGATGCATCTATGGTTCGTGCCGCTCGACCCTCGGCAGTGCACAATTTACTTTATGTTGGATCGGGCCGTACGACCTCGGCACTATTTGCGCCTGTTTTATTCAGAATTTCTATGATTTAGATTATTATTTGCCCTGGAATGAAGTTGCCAGTAGTGACATTACTTAGGGGAGAACCTGTTAGTTCTTGCTACATACTGCTATCTGACTACTTTTACCCATGCACAGTGTAATTTATATCTCATATTATTTTGAAATTACTTAGGCACGTGATGTATCATTCATGGTCAGAGAGAAGGTTCTCTTGAAACTCTCGCCGATGAAGGGTATTATGAGATTCGAGAGGAAGGGCAAGTGGAGCCCAAGGTTTATAGGCCCAGTCGTGGTGTTGAGGCGAGTTGGGGAGGTTGTTTATGATCTTGCTTTACCTCCGAGCCTATCAGGAGTTCATCTAGTTTTTCACGTGTCTATGCTTCGGAGGTATCACACCGACTTGTCTCATGTGTTAGACTTCAGTACTATTGAGCTAGATGAGAGCTTGGGTTACGAGGAGGATCCAGTTGCCATAGTTGATAGACAGGATCACCAATTGAGATCCAAGAGGATTTGTGTGGTGAAGGTCCAGTGGAGGGGCCAACTAGTTGAGGAGGCAACTTGGGAGTCCGAGGAGGACATGCAGAGCATATATTCCCACTTATTCAGCACTTCAGGTATGAATCTAAACCCGTTCGAGGACGAACGTTTATTTAAGAGGTGAAGAATGTAACGACCCGACTGGTTGTTTTGCTTTGTAGGACCTCATTCCCCTAAATAAGACTTCCTGTACTTGCTTTTATTGATTTATGACTTACGGGGATAGTTGGTTCGGGATTTGGAAGAGTTTGGGTTGAAATTGGAACACTTGGTTCTTTAAGGGTGGCTTAAAAGTTGACTTCGGTCAACATTTTTAGTAAACGACCTCGGAATCAGGATTTGAAGGTTCCAACGGGTTTGTATGATGATTTCGGACTTGGGCGTATGTCCGGATCGAGTTTTCGATGACCCGGGAGCGTTTTGGCGCGTAATAGTGAAAGTTGGTTCTTTAAGAATTTTGAAGTTCTTGAAATTTGGTTTGGAGTAGGTTTTTATGTTATCGAGGTCTGAACGGAATTCCGAGACCGGGAATAGTTCCGTATTGTCATTTAATACTTGATCGCAAAATTTGGTGTCAATCCGAGTAGTATAAGTACGTTTCGTTGCGTTAGAAGTAAATTAAAGAACTTGAAGTTCTTAAGTTTGAATCAATTGGTTTTAGGGTGTGATTCCTAGTTTTAATGTTGTTTCTGGTGTTTCGAGGGTTCGAGCGAGTCGGTTTTATCATTTCAAACTTGTCGGTATGTTCGGGCGGGGCCTCGGGGGGCCCGAGCGCCAATTGGACGAGGCTCGAGTTGAGTTAGAAATTTTTGGAAGGAGCTGAAGCTCCAGGCATCTCTCATAACCGCACCTGCGGTTGACCAGCCGCAGGTGCAAGACCGCAGAAGTTGTCGATCCTTCGCAGGTGCAGCCCTAGGGGAGGAGCCCAGGAACCGCAGATGCGGCTCCTTTTCCGTAGAAGCGGAATCGCAGAAGCGGCCCCTGACCGCAGATGTGGCCCCCAGCCAGCCCAGGCAAAGTCCGCAGATGCGGACACTTCCTCGCAGAAGCGAGACCACAGATGCGGTCCCCTAACCGCAGGTGCGAAAATCGCAGAAGGCAGTGCCTTCATTTAATATGGGAAATGTGTCATTTTTGACACATTTCATTCAATTGTTAGGCGATTTGGGAGCTTCCAAAGAGGAGATTTCGGCTTAGCATTGTGAGGTAAGTTAGTTCTACATAATGTGAGTATAATACATAGTTTAGGGGTAGATTATACCTTGTAAATTAGTAAAAATTGTGGGTTTAGAGTAAAACCTAGGGTTTTGATAAAAATAAGATTTTACCATGAAATTTGTTATGAAATGAAGTAATCATATATTCTTGATCCTTAGGTTACAAGTAGCAACTTCCCTCAAGAATTTTCGAAATCCGGGCACGTGGGCCCGGGGATAGATTTTAGGGAACTTGTATTTAGGGTTGAAAAATTACTTTAATAGTTAGAATATGAACTCTTGAGCTTGTATTGACTAGTTCTTACCCCGTTTGATTAGTTTTGGATCGTTCGGATCCGAATTGAGGGTTTGAGCGCGTTCTTGATATCGGAAGTAAGCTTTGGAGCAAGGTGAGTCTCCTTTCTAACCTCGTAAAAGGAAAATAAGCCCCTAGGTGAATTAAATAAATGTATGTGATTGTCTGTGGGGGCTACGTACGTACGTGGTGAAGAGACTCTGTGCGCAGCTACTGTTATGCTAATTGTCCAGGTAATTTAGGACCCGTATCATGTCATACTTGCAAATGCTTACATTCTTGCTTGCTACTGAGATCACTTAGGACATGTTATCGATTGAAATTAAATATAAACGAATGTACGCACTTACTCGAGAACTTGTATGAATTTATTTGACTGCAAATGCGCATTTACGTGCCTTCTTGATAATAATTGCTATATGTGGATCGGGCCGATCGCCTCGTTAGAAATAGATGCATCTATGGTTCCCGCCATTTGACCCTCTGGCAGTGCACAGTTATTATTATGTCGGACATGACAGTACGACCTCGGCATAATGTGCGCATGTTATTTATGTGAAATTTACCCATGATTTACTCTGTTGAAATGCCTTGAAATGTAAGTTATTATATGACGTGACTGAATCCGATAGATATATATATTGTTGCTCCTTGTTCTGAGTATGTCATTATATACATTCCATCCATGCTTAGTGTAAACCTTATATATTATTGATATTGACCTTAGTAAGTGTCAAGTCGACCCCACGTCACTACTTCTTCGAGGTTAGACTGGATACTTGCTGGGTACATGTTGTTTATGTACTCATACTACGCTTCTGTACTTAACTGTACATGATCTGAGGCTGGTGCATCTAGTTACCCCTCCGGCGTGCGTTCCTGATTCCTGGTCGAGATCTCACGGTGAGCTGCCCCTTCTGAGCCGTTCAGCAGCATTACCGGAGCTTCTCTTCTTTTGTTGTTATTATGTACTGTCTATTCTGTTTCAGGCAGTAGGATAGTGGTATTCTTTTGTAGATTCTACTAGTTGCCCTAGTACTTGTGACACTAGTTCCTGGCGCACAGTGTAGACTATTATTTTTGGGATGTAACCATATTATTACGAACTTGTTTATTAATGAATGTTTAAAAACTTAACTGTTAAGAAAAATATTGAGGTTGTTTTTGGTAAATTAATAAGAATTCATTAGTTGAATTAGGGTTGGCTTGCCTGGCAACGGTGTCGGGCGCCATCACGACCTATGATGGAAATTGGGTCGTGACATAATTTTGATTGGATAAAATAATAATTACAGTTAAATATTTAAAACTTGAGATAAGATGCTATTAGAAATTTAAATTAGTAAGTTATTTCCTCTAATCTTGAATTAACTAATTAGAAAAAGAATCTAATTCAATACTTTTCCAACTTAATCATTCCTAAGACGAACCAAAAAATAGACGACTGTTGGGTGAAATATGGGAAGATAGGATAGTATTAAGAGGATTTGGTGATCATTTCCATGTCCAATGGGTGAAATATGGGAAGATAGGATAGTACTATATTAATGAAAAATGATTTGAAAGTGTTGGAGTATCAAACAACCCAACATATTACACCAGGAGATTATAAGAATTACGCATTTTCATCATATGTTGGGAGTTATGGAATTTAGGTCTGCAAGTAGATATATGAGTCTGCCAAATCCTCGCCACTACAAGGCGACTTTTGCCACACAAAAAAGTGATACTGGTGAGAAAACACACAAGTCACAGGTCAAAAGAGCAGGACGAAACAACAGATTGGTTCTTCACACAATTGGATAGTTGAATATTGAATAGCAAGAGAATAACATCTTTGGCCTGGCCCCTTATGCGTAGAATAGCTTGTATTTTTCGGTACATCAATGTTATCCTTGAAGCATAATAGATCAAGAACTCGTGCATACAAAAAAATAAAACATATGTTTAAATACTGAAAAAGGGAGCCAAACCAGTAAGCTTAATACAGATTGTAAAATTACAATTAGCCATAGCAATGATGGGAACTATTTTCCATGGCTAATATTGGTGCATATGTAGAATTGGTGATAGTAAGAAATGGAGGAAAAACACTCCTAACTAGAGCAAGGAGTGGCCACTGCTAGCAAAGGTGACTTCCTACGAATAGTGATGCCAGTGCCTTCAGTCATATCCAAATCCTCCCCTTTTATCCCTTCTGGTAATGCAAAATTGAACTTGTGCACAAGCCTCGCTATTGCTAGCTCATTTACAATAATAGCAAAAGCAATTCCTGGACAGCCCCTCCTGCCTGCACCAAAGGGAATCAACTCAAAATTTAGTCCTTTGACATCAATATTACTATTCAAGAACCTCTCTGGTCGGTACTCCTCCGGATTATCCCACGATAAAGGATCTCTTCCAATTGTCCAAACATTGATAAGGACTTGAGTTTTAGCAGGTATGTCATAGCCTAGCAATTTTACGTCTTCTGTTGATTCTCGAGGAAGTAGTAGTGGATCCGGCGGATGGAGTCTGACAGTTTCTTTGATTACTGCTTTAAGATACTGCATATTTCCTAAGTCATCCTCTGTTATCTCTGATTTCCCTTGGGCTAATTGTCGCACTTCATTCTGTAATTTTTCCATGGCTCTTGGATGCCTCAAAAGCTCTATCATTATCCACTCTAAAGCTGTATATGTTGTATCCGTACCAGCAGTAAATATATCCTATGGATTAAAAAAGAAACACAAAAAACAAATTAAGCAACAGTTATGTTATGTTACATTGAAATTAGGCATATTAGTTAGTCAACCATCCGGGGCATAAAACTTGGTCCTTACCAAGAGAAGAGCTTTCAATGAATCCCTTTGAAGAGGAAAGCCTGTTTCATTTCCATCCTGAATTTCCAACAAAACATCCACTAAGTCTTTAGCTTCACCCGCACCGTATTCTCCTTTTTTGATATGTTCTTCAATCACATTCTCCAAAAATGTATCCAACTCCTTTGCTACTTTATCCACTTTGGTGTCAAGACCATTGATTTTATTGACCCATTCAAGCCACGGAATATAATCCCCGACGTTGAACGTACCCAAAAGATCACCAAATTCATCTAGGACGGCCTTAGCATTGATTCCTTTTCCCCCTTCATTATATTTCCTCCCTAAGGCCACTCTGCTAATTACTTTTTCAGTTAGAGAACATAAATGATCTCTTAAGTTTATCACTGAACTCGAATCACACTCTTGNTTGTAAAGATAAGTTGTGCATTGTAGTGTATCGTATGTGTTTACCTCCTAGAACAACTTCATTTAATTTTTGGAAATGGAGCCACAAGTTGAATGATGTTAGTTCAGATGTCAGACCCTAACATTAGTCACTATAGTTTGGACAGAAAAGAGCCTAAGGGTAAAATACCTAGGAGTCAAAAACGATTGTTATTATTAGAGATGTATTTTTCGTAGAACTCATGCAAATGACTAGAAGATATGATATATGTAATGAGAACCAAGAGCAACCAATAGTGAATTTCAGGGAACGATTTTAACTTGTTCATATTTATTCAAATCAGAACTAGAAGTACCACGTTAGTAAGTTACTATAAGAAGCAGCTATTGATGTAAGATACAAGATATGGCAGTTCCCCTTTAGGTTATATGACTAAATGATTACCCGGGATGTTTATAGTATGATATGATTTAGTATTGTATAGAAAGTTTGGGGTTAGATATTCTAATTTCATTTAAGGCAGATGAATTCCCTAAGTGTGATCCATGCACATACTTTAGAAGAAGAAAAAAAAGGATAGTATGCGACCGTAGAACAGGGCCGGATGGTGAAGGAAGTTAGAATAACCTTATGCTTCACTTCATTTATTCAAAGCAGAGCAAGAAAACATGATGGTAGCAGGTGGTTAGTAAAAGAATAGTAAGCAAGTTTTGAGTTGATACAGTGAATTAGCTCTTTCAGCAGAGCTAGTAGAGGTACAATTTGATTCACTTAGCTAGGTTAACTTTAGTGAGTGGATGACAGTTTGAAATACCGAACGTGTGTTAGAACCCAAAGAGTTTATGCTAAGCTCAAAGTACAAGGGCAGTGGGAAAAAAATTAGCTAGCAGTGAGAGCACAAACTATAGAAGAATAGCCTTTAGGAATTACCGTAATGTGGTTTCTCCAGGATTGACAGTGTGAGAAGAGTTAAATTATTAAGATTGTATATGATAGTTGTGAATACATTAGCTTTCCATTAAGTGAATAATTCAGTTTTCCTAGTAAGAGAGATTTCTCAGAAGTAAGTTGGAAGATGAGTCGTCATTGACGTAGAGTGCAAAGAATTGCAGAAAATAAGGAAAGTTATTTGGATCTCAACAAAAAGAGAAAGATCCACAAGTATAAGACCTTTGGTCTAAGGGGTGATGTGAAAATTTTCAGTAAGTCCAGTTAGAGATTTGAAACCCGAATAGTTAGCATGGGATATGAAAAAGAAAATCAGTTCGGTAATGAGGTACCACAGAGATTATGTCTAGTATGTGTAATAAACACAAAGTGAATAGAATGATCAACGAGCTTAGTTATTGATGATAAAGTGATCACAGAAAAGCTATAAAAAAATCATTCCTATTTATGTGCCACGAGGGTAGTGCCATTGCACGAGACTCTAATTTTGGAGCACAAGTCAAAGACTTAGCTCGCAACAATGCTATAAGTGTTTTCAGGAAGTACCTTAAAAAGATAATAAAGTATGTGAAGTATAGCTCATAATTGAGGCAGACAAGAGGACTATGGTGAAAGAAGTTCACCACTTAGCCAAGATAGGAGTTCGATTTCGAACTACGAAGATGACAGAGTTGTTGTCTAGAACACGACTTGTCCCTCCTTAGTAGCCGAGAGAAGGGGAAAAAATTTGATGATCCCTACGTGTTGCAGTTGAAAGAGGAGATTCACAAGTATAAGATGATGGCTTTTGAATAAGGGGGAGATGATGGTACTTTGAGGTACCAAGACAGATTGTCTGTTCCAGACATAGTTGGACATAACAAGGGAAGATCATTTTAGAAGCCCATAATTCCAGGTATTCTTTCCATCCAGGTTCCCCAAATATGCATCATAACCAAGGAGATTTATTGGTTGAATGACATGAAAAAGAACGTCGCAGATTTTGTGGCCAATTGTCCGAATTGCTAGCAAGTGAAACTCGAGCAACAGAAAGCCTAGTCTTTTACCATAGTTTACACATATTTTGAGTAGAGATGGTAAATATGGAATGTATAACAGGATTATCTTGCTCAATTTGGAAGCATGATTTGATTGAGTGATTGTAAACCGACTTACCAAGTCAGCACATTTCTTGCCAGTAAAGACTACAGATTTAGTACAAGATTATGCCAAGTTGTACATTAAAAAAAATCGTCTAATTGCATGGGACTCTGTTGTATGTCATTTCAGACGGTGGTTCTCAGTTTAAAATGAACTTTTAGAAGTTCTTTCAGAAATGATTAGGTACAAGTTTTTCACCCTCAGAAAGATAGCCAGGCAGAGCGCATTATTCAAACAGTTGAGGATATGTCCTTGATGTTAAAAGTAATTGGGATGATCACATACCTCTCATTGACGTTGCTAATAATAACACCTACCATTCTAGTACCAAGATGGCACCGTACGAAGCTATGTATGGGCGAAGGTGTAGATTACCAATTAGTTGGTTCAAAGTTGGAGAAGTGGAGTTGTTAGGACCCGATTTGGTCTATCAGACTATAGAGAAAGTTAAGTTGATTCAAGAGCGTTTGAAGAAAACTCAGAGCCGCCAAAAGTCCTAATCGAGAGTGCGGTATAGAGACCTAGAGTTTCAAGTTGATGATTAGGTATTTCTGAAAGTTTCGCTTATGAAAGGCGTCATGAGATTTGGGAAGAAGGGGAAGCATAGTCTCTGCTATATTAGGCCATATAGATTCGTGCGAAGGATCGGTCAATTAGATTATGAGTTGGAGTTACCACCATAATTAGTGGTGGTACAGCGTGTCATGTTATAACATTCATGTCAGTTCAGTACTCAGATACTCATGTCAGTTCAGTACTCAGATACTCATGTCAGTTCAGTACTCAGATACTCATGTCAGATCAATACTCAGCTACTCATGTTAGTCCAATACTTAGACATTCATGCCAGCTTAGTACTCAGATTACTCAAATATTCGTGCCAGTTCAATCTTCGTATACCTATGTTAGTTCAGTATTCACGTATCCATGGCAGACCAATATTCAGTCAATGCAGTAGTCATTCAGTTCAGTATCTCAACAGTTCAGTAATCATGTATTCATTCAATTTAGTATGCAAGTGTTGGTGAAAGTTCATGTTTCCACCAGACCCGTTTAAGGTTTGGAGTTAGCAGAAGTTACAGCCAGGACAATCATTCGAGGACGAATGATCCCAAGGGGGAGATAATGTAACACCCCGTACATTCGGACTAGGTGTGGATATATTAAATGGGTATAAATATGATATTTTAGACATATGAAGTCCTAGAGAGACGATTATTGGTGAAAATAGTTGTTTCGGAATCAAGATGGAGAGTGCGGTGCATAAGATTCAACAAAATCGACTAAGTTTACAAAAGGTCCGTCTTCCAGCAGCTGTTAGTTAAAATGTGAAAGGAAATAAAAGAGGAAAGTTGTAGGACTTTGAAACAGCTTTCCAACGATATATTGTGGAGCCCAAACAGAGCTCTGTGCACAATGTTATGCCCGTTTTACAGAACAATGGGCAACCACCGCGCCCGGACCGTGCCCGGACCGCGACCGCGGTCGTGAGGCAGTGTTCCTGCTATTTACCGTGGTCGGTACCGCGGTCAGGCCTACAGGGGCACGGTGGCGGACTTGGGGAGTCATTTTTTAAGCTCTATTTCATCCCCCACAACCCCAAAACATAAAAACTTGCTCTAGAAAGGAAAGGTCTCAAAAACCTAACTCCTTAAGGGTCCCTCCACCACCGAAGGTAAGTTCTAATGGTGATTCTAAGTTAATTTTAATTTCCCAACGTCTTATTAACATGGGTAAACCCTTCATAACATTGGATATTTGATTGGGACATCATTGTTGAGAGAAGGAACCCTAGAACTCGAATTCAAGGTGATTGAACTTCAAAGAGGTAATGTCTTCACCCTATAATTGATTCTAGCATTGGTTTAATGATTATAAACCCTAGTTCATGAGATATGAGTTGATGGGTTTGATAGAAAATCATGAACGGTTATAAGTTTGGGGTGTTGATTGTTGATTATTGGTTAAGGGTGTTGTTTACCTTATGGGTGATAAAGAATAATGTTGACTATAACCATTTGAGACTTTAGAATTTATCTAGGAGCAAGGGAATGTGTTATTGGGTGTAGAGACACCATTAATAAGGACTATGAAGCTTTATTTTCACCAAGTGTTTGATAAGATGCTTAAGTGACCAAAACATGAGAATTATTGCTAATATGGAATCCCTTTGACTTGTATTGATTTAGATTAAAGTTGAAAGGGTTGACAAACGTTGTATTATGCTCAAGAGCAAGAAGTTAAGGTATGTGAGGCTAACTCTCTATGTTTGGCAATGTTAATGATTCTCTCTACACTACGTTTCTTTTACGACGTTACTAATTGTCTCATAAATATAGTTTAGCCAAGTTCCATGAATAGTTGTAGAACTTCTATTCTCTAGCTTCATAACTCTTTCACCACTTCCATTCTGAACGTTGTGCGCTCAGTGCGTATTCAATATAGACTTGAGTTTGGTGCCCCCGAGTCTTAGTATAGATTACTCGGTATGCCATAAACAGTTGAAGCTTCAGTGTTCATAATCAGTTTAAGAATACATATCTCAGTCTAGTTGTATTCAGTATTCCAGTGTTATGTAACTTAGTGTGATCCAGTATTCTAGTATCATGTAACTCAGTGGGATTCAGTATTTCACTATCATGTATTAAAGTTTGATTCTCAGTTCCTGAATGTTGAACACCTGTATTTGAGCCTGAGGCCGTAGTTTATATGCTTTATGCATACTTGGGCCCGAGGCCGTAGTTTATGCTTTATGCATGTTTGGGCCTGAGGCCGTAGTTTATGCTTTATGCATTTTTGGGCCTGAGGCCGTAGTTATGTATACGTATACTTGGGCCTGAGGCCGTAGATTGTGCACATATATATTGGGCCCGAGGCCGTAGCTTAATCAGATAAACAGGTTTTTCATCATTCAGAAGAGGGAGTATTCATATCCTTACTTCCTTTGTTCAGTTCAGTTATCAGTTATCAGTTCAGCTATCAGTTATCATTTCAGTTATCAATTATCATTTCAGTTATTAGTTATCATTTTAGTTATCAGTTATCAGCTATCGTTTCAGTTTATGTTTCAATAGTTATTATTTCAGTACCAATTATCAATTCTCAGCTATCAGCTTAGTTTCAGTTTCAGCATTTATAATTCTTTCTTTCAGTTGCTTTACATACCAGTGCAATTCAAATATACTGACGTCCCTTTTGCCCAGGGCTTGCATCTCATGATGTAGGTAATGATTTACAGGTTGACGATTCAGAGCACTAGGATTCTCGTACTAGCTATTTGGTGATCCCAGTTCTTTCGGGGCATTATCATTACCTTATAGTCTTCAGTATTTTCACACCGTCAATATTTTCAGTGCTTCATTAGAGGCTTCATAGACTAGAGTAACAGCTAGAAGAGTCGCAGGCTTTTCATATTAAGCCATGTGGGCTACAAATATATTTCAGAGTTGTATTAGTAATTCCGCACTTTGATTTATATCATCAAGACTTTCAATATATCATCATGTGTTAATTTATCTTCCGTATTCGATATGTTATGATATCACATGTTAATTCTGCTAGCCAGTTGGTTCGCTCGGTCGCATGTTGTTAGGCACCGGGTGCCGTGTTACGTCCAGGCCCAAGTTCGGGGCCTAACAGAAACGACCTCTTGGGTCTCAACAGTATAGGCGTGAAGCCCTAACATGATAATTAGAATGATTTACAGTTTCTTTTACCTAATCACATCATCACAACATAGATATCAGCAAGAAGATTCACTAAGCGGTGCCATGGAATGAATTAGGCCACAATTCTCACGGTGCACGATCACATGCCCGTCACTTGGCATTTACGTTGTCGCGCCCCCTTTTTCCTTTTGCGGAGTCCGGGTTTCGACATTCATGGGGGAACAACTCGTTTCCTTTTGGGGATTGGGTATTTGAAGAGTCGCCACCTAACGGATTAAGGTGCGTTAGGGCACCTAGAGCGATTAACTGATATAACTAGTTTGCATTATCATAGATTAGGGTAAGGGCTCGAAATAACCTTGTGGGGAAGGTGTTAGGCACCCCTCGCGGTCCACAATGACGGGTCCCAGCCGAACATAAACTATGTGAATTAGTCAATTAACAAGTAAGCACGTATTTACAAATAAAGTAGTTTTCCCCCATCTAAATGCATATATGATCAAGAAAGTTTAGATAATGAAGATAAAAGAGGTTTGGACAGCTTACACATGTATATGTAAAGAAAGGGGAGTTTAGATAATTTAAACACATATAGAAATTGGGAAAGGGGAGTCCTAAATTGATTAGCCTACAAGACCAATCTATGCAATGCCCGGTAATCCTCCTCAACTAGAGGGGCTACACGTGACATTAGCGCGTAGGTAGGGGTGTTCATGGTTCGGTTTGGATCGGTTATTCCCTTAAAAGAAACCAAACCAAGTAAGTCGGTTTTTCAAATATTAGAACCAAAACAAACCAATTAAGTCGGTTTTTTCTCGATTCGGTTTATGTCGGTTTTTGTCGGTTTTTCGATTTTTTCGGTTATTTGTCGGTTTTTTCTGATATATAATACATACACTATCAAAACAAAACAACCAATCAAACTAGAATGTAAAGGTAAAGAACTATACTAAAAGTGCAAACTATTAACATTTACCATTAAATTTTGAAACTTTGTATAAAAATATACATATATATAGGTGTAATAATAAATTTGAAATAGCTACTCCTATAGTCGGTTTGGTTCGGTTTTTTTTCATTTTTTTTATTAAAACCAAAACCAAACCAAATTTGATCGGTTTTAAAAATTCAAAACCAAAACCAAACCAAACCAAAAAGTATCGATTTTTTTGGTCAATTTTGTTCGGTTTTCGGTTTGGTTCGGTTTTTCGGGTTTTTATGAACACCCCTATGCAGGTCATCATATCCTTTTACTACACGTTACCCTCCCCTTAACGGTTATATAAGTGAATTTGATTAACGACCCATAAGCGTGCTGTTGCCCGTCCCTTCCTTATGGTCCTGGAGGAGCTTAGGACCTCTAAATCTGGGCAGTTCTAGACAAACCTATGGTATTTAAAAGGAAAAAATCTAGGCGGCAAATAAATAACACGTAGGACAAGCAAATAGGGAAAAAGCAATTAAAAGGCTCATGTTTACCTCCGCATGTATACAGGCAAATAAACAAAACGTCTAAAACACAGATTCAGGTAATTTCTAGAAAGAATCCTAGGACAGGATATCTAGGTGAACATCAATACACAGATCTTGGAACGATATTTCAAAACTCAATGGCAGGATCCAAGTCGGTTTGCTTACTGGTTTTAAACTTATGAGACTTAAGCATTTTATACACAATTGATACGCAGTTTCTAGTTTTATAAGGACAATGACCACCTAAGGCTTGCCTAGGCGTGGGAACTATACATGATCACAATTAAAGGAGCTATTTGAATAGTTTGAGATTGTTCAACCTATGAGCATGCTGATCTAGGTGATACAGGTTATAACAGGCGACATGATACCTATACGTGAGCTTGTTTTAAACCTTTTCATGGACAACTACTGATTTAATCGAAATAGACGAGGTTCAAACAGATGCAAATAGAGTTCCTAAGAACATGGTATCTAATTCATACAAGAATGAAAGTTTTATTAAGATTATTAGATAGCAGGATGTCTATGTCACAGTACTTAGGAATTGAGCATGCAACATGCTGAAGCAGTAAACGTGAAGGCCCTAAAAAGCAGGATATCTAATGCACAAGTTCAACATGGTTAGAATGCAAATAAACACAGTAATCCTAGAACATGGCTTCTAATGCAGATTTGCAGAATATAAAGCATATAGCATATTTTCTACCCAGTTTTACCCACAGTATCATACAACTACCCTCCGGTTTCACTAGTTACCCCGATATCTGTTTACAAATAATTAATACAGACCAAAATTGAATAAATTACTTAAATGCAATATAATTAAACTATAGAGAGCCTGTGTCCAGGTGTGTCAGAGTTCCCTAAGGACCTCAAGGATCCCGGGCAATGCTAAGACCCATACTTTTCCCAAATAAAGATTGATTATACACAGTGTGGAAGAGCCAACCCTGATATGCCATATTTCAGAGAGATCTCAAGGATCTCTAAGCAGTACACATACCAGAGGGGCAGAACTTAATAACCTAAGAGTAAGTGAGAGTGCTTGATATAGATTGAAAGACTTAGTGAAAACAGCTTAGGAGTGAAAAAGGTTTTCTAGAATAGACCAGTTTTGAGAAAATACTAGTAATGAAAGCCAGTTTTTTAGAGGATACTGACAGCATTTGAAAGCAGTTCAGAAGAGAGCAAATCACGTAGACAGCCAGTTGGTCATAGAAGGTTCAAATTCACAAGTATTATAGTAGGCAAGCTTGCACACAGGGGTGAAAGGGAATTGGGAACATATAGGAATCTCATCGAGGGTACATGAATAGGGCAGGGAGGCATGTAGATAACTTAGGATCTTCATAGTTTTACTAAATTAGCCAGGATAGAAGGCAACTAAAACATGGAGCAAAGATGTGGAGGACAGAATCAGACACA